GCAGCAGCAGTTCCCAGGAGCAGGACTTCCACCCACAGCCCCTGCTGCAGGATTGGGCCAAAAATAAACTGCTGCTTCCCTTCGTGGTTTTGGCACAGCAGCAGGATTTACAGCACTTCCCTCTCTGCCCCCAGGAATGGCTACCCAGATGCTCAGTACCTCCGGGAGGTTTGCAGTGTTCTGAAGAAACTGGGCATCGCATGAGACTCCCACAGCTGCAGCGGTGGCTTCGCTTCGCCTTTCTTTCCAGCTGACAAAACTGCAGCTTAACAAAAAGCAGGTGTTTGTCCAAGGAGCTACTGTGTCCCCAGAGGTAGCCAGAAACGTGCATGTTAGTGACGGCAGCACCTCCATCACTGCCCTCAGGGTGGGTCGGTGTTTCCCAGCAGCTCCAGCTCCTCCTGGATGTGTGTCCTGCCAGCCAGTTACACAGCTTGTTCCAGCTGATTTCAGGCCGAGCTCCATGTGACTTTCAGCAACATGACCCAAACCTGGGCAGAAGCCTGTGCCTAGTCCAGCCCCAGCTTCTGGAAATCTCTTCCACCTTCTGCAACCACAGGCAGGTTCCAGCTCAGCTGCTGCCAGAGCCCAGACCAAAGATGAGCTGTCATTAGTGTCAGCTCTTTACGCTGACAGTTCAGGTCTCGGCCAACAGCCCTAAGCTTCAGCCCCTCCCCAGCACCTGCTCTGGGGCCAGCAGGTGACCTGGTGCTCTCTTGGGAAGAACATTAACAGCTTTCAGCACCCCCCACAGCTGCCTCCCTGGAATAGTCTCTAAGTAGAGAAACACAAATAAACAGGATTTATTCTCTCATATTTGGTAATGTTCATGCCTTGTGTTACCCTCAGCCCAGGCACCCACTTCAGTCCCCCACCTGCCTACAGAGACACCCAGACACAAAGCGCATAGGGGCTAAGAGCTTCACAGACAAAAGCTACCATAGCTGCCCTTCAGAGCATTAGGAGCAACATTTGAGGCAACAATTAACTGTTGTCCATGAGAGCAGAGGGTCTCCTCATACAGAAAGTCACACTTTATAAACCAAACCTGCCCAGAGGCTGAGCTGAGGGTGGAGGGCTCGTGTCAGCAGAAACCTGAGCAGCACACGATGGAGGGTTTTGTTATGCTTTTAATTACCATTTGAAACACGTAAGGCATATGGTAACATTTGACAGAGGAGCATTACACATTATAGTCATGTAGACAGCAGTGGCAGACTTGCTTTCTGTTCAACTTGGTTACACGCACAAAGCGGAATACATTTTTTAAACAAAGGTTTTCCATGTGTGTGTAGGATGAGCATCACTCATATCACGTATCTGCAAATCAACACAACTCGGACAGTACAGACCAGACCACATATTATGAGAGGCTCACTCAGAGTCTAACATGTTTCACGTCATGTTCACACACTACTTGCCAGTCACACTTTGCCATCACAAGGGCTCAGCATACCAGAGACTTCAGGCAACCAGAGTGGTTTAACACCTATGATAGCAGCTGTCAGCAGGTCAGGATCCTGCACCAACTGCAGCCTGAGGCCCATGGTACTTCTTACTTCTCCCTGGTCAATCAATTTTGGTTTGATAGATGTGTCAGAAACACAACACACAGCTAAACTCCTTCTCACAGCACTGGGCAGGGGCCACACTCCTCTGTGCGACCAGAGGCTGCTGCTGCTCCTGCAGCCAGCACGCAACACAGCGAGCTCCAGAGAAACCCGTCAAAAACATGTCAACAGTTGCCTGGTGATAGCAAAGGAGTAGCACTTTGTCCAAGACCAGTAGCACCAGTCTGGGAGGGCACTGCAGCAATGGGAGGAGAGGCAAGTCATGTCAAGCCCCCCAGCAGTGGGCAGGGCTGGGGACGCCTCCTCTGCTCCTTACTCACACTTTCCACTTGGACTCCTCATGGCACAACCTTTGAGTCAGACAATCAGTAAAATAAACAAATTGCACTTCTGATAGCTGGAATGGCACACGTGATTAAGCACAGGAATCTCCCAGGTCCTCAGTAGCAGAGCTTTGCCCTAAACAAGCAACACTGAGTGGAATGATTTTTATCCTAGGGTTTGCTTTAGGTTTTTTGCTTTGGTCCTTAGTATACAAACCTGCTGGTTAACTTGATTGAGCTAAGACACTTGAAGTTGTTTTACATAGGTTTTATACTTAAAAAAACAAAAGTAAAAAACCAAAACACAACCAACCGCACCCGCCTAGAGCCAAGCACTATGGAGGGGCAGAGAGCAAGGGCACACTTAATCTTGGTCGGTCAGTAGAAAACACTGTTGCCACCAAGGGACACAAAATAGGCAGTGCAGAACTTACAAACAGTAACCGCTTGGCATTCC